TAAGTCTCTGTGTCATGATTTGGGAGCTGGTTGGTGGCCCAAAAGAGAAGCCCACTACACTGGCCCATGGTGGAATGGAGGAGAACCTGGGCAGATGGACACACAGACCTGCCTTCACAGAAGGTCGAGCCACAGGGCACAAGAAAAACTGCCCAAGCTGCACCACTAGCTGGCTCCAGGCACTAGATGGGGAGGTCAACCATCCCATCCTAAAGTCTTGAGGGACTCATCACACCTGCTGAGCTGGTAGTGTGTGATCCACCCCTCACCCCCACACACCAGGAAGACGGGAACAAATGTCTATTTGCACTAAAAAGGGGGTCACAGGCAGACCAAGAGACCTATTCCAATCTAGAGTTACAAGAGAAGGGGTGTAAGGGGCTACTCCCAGGAGTGGGGGTGAATCAAAGGGAGCTGCGTCGCTGCAAAGCCCAACCCAGTACAGATGAGAACTCACAAAAGCTGCATTTCTGGAGCCCTCTGCACAGCCTGCAGCAGCTTTGACCCTGGAAGAGTTTCCTCTCCCCGACAAGTAGTACTGTTAATGTGACCATAAGGAATGTGGCCACACTGAATAAATCCCCTGTCTCTGCTTTCCACTATTACTTCTCTCTTGGCTTGTTGGAGAAGAGTGGTCAAGTCTAGTTCGTTGGAGCTTCCAGGACCTAGGTTTTGACCCTAAAAAGGCTCATTTACCAAATCTGTGGCACTACCGGGAGGTTGTATGTAGTGGGTAGGTAGCTGTTCTAGCTTTGACCTTGAAGCACCACCCCTAGTGAGGTAGCCGGTAACTGTTACATCTGCCTATGACCTTGAAGTACATGACCCTGGGGTTTTGCTGGTCAGGACCCTTAAGACCTGGGATGCACTGCACGTAAGAAGCTCTCTTTTCTCTTCCTTGTGGTATTGGATGCTGAGATCTTGGACCAGGCAAATCAGTGTGGGTTATAGCTCAGCTTTCCCAGGCCCTACGATAAATCTCCCATGGTAGTGGATTAACCCTCAAATAAATTCCTTGCTCATTAAATAGACCCGTGGATTTCTTGCATTAGTTGTACAGTCTTTGTAGGAGATGGGTGTAGGTGGACGTGTGTCCTTGAAGAAGGTGTCTTGACTTGACCACCACCTCACTTTGCTTCCAGCTGCCACAAAGTGAGCAGCTTTGTTCCACCACATGCTCCCCACCATAATGTTCCCACAGGCTCAGAAATAACAGGGCCAAGTGACCATGGACTGAAGGTTTGGAAGCCCTAGCTTAGGTATTTTATCCTAATATCAGAAAGCTGAGTAAGTTTGTGGGGAAAAGTTCTTCCCACAATGCTTCCCAAGTCTAGCTGGGGCCGAGAGGTTATAGACAGAGGGCCAGGCCTCAGTCAGAGAACTGACTCTGGTCAAGCACTGTGGCAGCCCTGCCTGAGAAATCTTAAAAAGCAGACCCAAAAGGACCAACATGCTTCCAAATGATGTGACTGCCCCAGAACAGAACTCAAGAATACGGAGCTGGTTGTGGTGGCACACACATTTGATCCCAACACAGGTAAAAATGGGGCGGGAGTGTCTGGCAGTTCAAGGCCAGCCTGGTCTACATAGCAAGTTCTAGGCCAGCTGACATGATTTGGAAAAGAATGGCCTCCATAGGTTCATGTATTTGAATACTTAGTCATCAGGGGGTGGCACTATTTGAGAAGAATCAGGAGGCATGGCCTTGTTGGAGGAAGAATGTCACTGGGGCATGGACTTTGAGGTCTCAAAGGCCCATGTCAGACCCAGTCTCTCTCTCTCTCTCTCTCTCTCTCTCTCTCTCTCTCTCTCTCTCTCTCTCTCTTTCCTCCCCCTTCCCCCGCCTTCTCTTTCAGGATGTAGCTCATAGCTACTTCTCCAGCACCATGCCTGCCTGCTGCCATGTTCCCTGCCATGATGATAATGGACTAAAGCCCCTAAAACTTTAAGCAATTAATTGCTTTCCTGTATAAGAGTTCCCTTGATCATGGTGTCTCATCAGAGCAATAGAACAGTGACTAAGACACCAGCCAAGGCTGCACACAGAGATTTTTGTCTCAAACAAACAAACAAAGAATATAGACCAGACCTGAGAGTACAATGTAAAGGCTGATGCTGCCGTATAACATTTACAATGTGCTTCTACTTTTTTCCCTATAGAATGTGTTTAAACCACAAAAAAGCAAAAGATTAAGAAAAAATTGCCTGGCAGTGGTGGCACATGCTTTTAATCTCAGCACTCAGGAGGCAGAGGCAGTGGATCTCTGAGTTCGAGGCCAGCCTGGTCTACAGAGCAAGCTCCAGGACAGGTACCAAAACTACACAGAGAAACCCTGTCTCGAAAAAAAAACTTTATAAAATAAACTGAAATATTTTTAAAGAAAGAAAACAATGTGGGGGCTGGCAAGATGGCTCCGTTGGTAAAAGCACTTGCCTCAAAAGCCTGACAAAACTGGATCCCTGGCATGTATATAAAGGTGAGAATAAAGAACTGACTCCACAAAGTTGTCCTCTGACCTCCACCCCTGTTCCCCGGCAAAGGCATGTCCTCAATCATACACACAATAGTAATAAACTAAGTTTATTTTTAAAAGTCAATGAGAAATTGGTCACGGTGATTCATGCCTTTAATCCAAGAACTTTAGAGGCAAAGGCAGGTAGGTGGAGCTCCATGAGTTTAAGGCCAGCACAGCCTACATAAAGAGATCGGTGTCTCAAAAAACCAAACATGCAACAGTGGCACAATTTTTATAGGAATAATCAAACACTTTTTGATTGAATTTAAGGTCTACTCCATCAGATGGAACCGACCCATGATACTGTTAAAGTGGTTAAGAACCTGAGACTGGATACATCATATGCTTAGGGGGAAACCTACTATTACTATTCTGCTAAAGGAACTTGCAACAGGAGCTGGAGATAGCTCAGTGGTTAAGAGCGCTGACTGCTCTTCCAGAGGACTCAGGTTCAATTCCCAGCACCCACATGGCACCTCATAACTGTCTGTAACTCCAAGATCTGACACCCTCACACAGACATCTATTCAGGCAAAACACCAATGCACATAAATTAAAAAATTTTAAAAGGAACATACAACAAAGTGACTCCTAATGACATATTGCTACACCCATAGAGCAGAGCATCACTCAGCCCACATCAGAGCATTTTCTTCTTCCAGTACATGTTAATTAACAAGGAGATCCAAAATTAGGCAATGTGCAGAGAGAGCTTTTGGAGCACTTAGCCTTAAATGGGATGTCTTTATCAAATCCCTCCTCTCAAGGCTCAGGGATCTATACAGAAGAGGAGGCAGAAAGACTGTAGGAGCCAGAAGTGGTGGATGGCTCCAAAGAAACAGTGTCTTCCAGACGTGACCAGACTGATACAAATATGAACTCACAGAGACTCTGACAGCATGCACGAGGCCTGTACAGATTCAAATCAGACAAAATCCCTAGCCTTCTCCAACGGAGTATACATAACTGGATTTATCTACCGCACTCCAAAGCATGCCTCATGTCCAGGAGTAGATGCCAACACAAAATGGGCTCCACGGTTTTTGTGCTATTTTTGTTTTGTTTTGGCATTTTTTTCTCTTACTGATTTTCTTTTTTTAAAGTTTGTTTTGACTTTTTGTTTTTGTTACTTTGTTGTTTTTCCTGTTTTGTTTTTGTTTTTGTTTTGAAAAAAAAAGAACAAGGGGGTTGGGAAGCTCTGGAAGGAGTCGCGGGGGGAGAATATGATCAAATGAATTATATGGAAAAATAGGAAATAAATAAATAACAAATAAATATAAACAGTAAATTCTGCTTTTATGCCCTAGCATAAAATCAGACTCGATTTCCTAAATCAATTTCCAATATTATTCTAAAATCCAAGCCCGGTTTTCTTCCTTCAGAAAGAGGCTGCGGCTCCAGTTGGCTCTGCGGTGAGGTTTGGGGATAAGAATCACCAGCAGCGACAGACTCTATCTGGCCTCAGCCGCACCCTTCCCGAGCCCAAAGAATCCTCAGCTGATGCTTTTGAGAGCCGATCGAACAGGTTCCCACCCTGCTTGTCCCGGTCAGAGAAAGACTGCATCACTGGAGACCCTCTCTAGAGACCTTTCATGAATCTGCGTCAGCGATTCAGCCGGACAAATACAGGGCACCCAGAGGACGATCATGCACCCGGCATCTAGTTAAGGACTCTCAGCTTTGAGCAGCCTGAGGCGCTTGCATCCTGAGCTGCATCTTAGCTGCATCTAAGACTAGTAAGAGGTCTTTCTCCACCACCTTCCCTTGACCTCTGCCTTCGGGATCGGAGACATGTCTCTCCAGCCGATTACTGGCCCAAGCTGGGACGCAAGCGCAGCCCTCGAAGTTTCTAATGGCCTGGAAAATGTGTGGAGACTCCAGAAGCCTTAAGAGAGACCCGAGACTAAAGACACCACAATTCGACCTCAAAGGATCAGAAAGCAGAATCTTGTTGGTCTCATTCGAACGCTATGACTAAAATAGTCGTGAGCCAGTTTCTCAGCAAGAAAAGCAGCCGGTCAACACACCATTGTAGGAGGCGCGAGCTCAAAATTGCTCTCTGTCTAAGCGCTTAGGCTCGAGATCCGAGCAAGGTCAAGAACTGATGCCTAGACGGTGGCTACACCGTACGCGCCCGCGCGCTGTCCGTTCCTCCGCTCCAGGAGGCTGAGGCCATCTCTTCGTCGGTGCCTGGGTTCCCCCTCAGCCTTTCCCGCAGGAGGAGCTCGATAAGCGCCCCCACAGACGGCAGTAGGTCCTGAAAACCTGATGTGGGTGCGACAATGCCACCCCAGGTCTCGGGGCACTCAGTTCCCAGGCAGCGGCCCCGCCCTTCTCTGTCGGTCCCGCCCCCGAAAGCAGTGAATCCAACCCGCACTGAGGCCCGCACATCGACTGAAACGACCATTGGGTAGCGGCTCATGAAAGCGGAGCCACCTTTTTATAGGGTGCGGAGGGGCCCGAGAGCCACCGAGTCCAGGGTCCTGGCAAAACAAGCCGCCGCTACGTCCCGCGAGTACCAGCCGGGCGGGTAGCCCTGCACCCGCCATCCCATGCATGGCCCGGGCGACACTCGACATGAACACGGAGGGGCTCGGAACACGCGGCGGGGGCCACGTAGGGCATGGACCACTCCCCTTCAGCGTCGAGTCACTGCTGGAGGCAGAGCGCGTACGGGGCTCCGACCCTGGGGAGCTAGGGGAGGAGAGGCCGCCGGGTGCCTCGAAGCCCGGAGCATGGCCCCCACCGGTCACGCACACGTGCCCCCCACGTAAGTGCTCAGTGCCCGGGTCCCAGGCCCTGAAAAGCGTGCGCGCATTCAAGGCAAGGAAGTCTGGGGGCAATGCTCGCTGTGGCTCCGAACTTAATTACTAGCCACTAACCCGCCCAGCCACAAATTGGTACAAATTGGTGATGGGATAACTGGTGATGGGAGCCCGACATTGTGCACAGGCCCAACAGCCACGTCCACGTCTCTTCCTGGGCGAGGTCCACAGCCCAGGACAGACACCCCTAATGCTTTTCCACTCCTTGTCGCTCACGCTTTTGCACCCCTTACCGACTTTGCGTATGCTCGCGACAGCTAACTAGTCTGCATATAGCCCTGATCTCTACTCATCCTGCTATTGCAGCCGCCTCCCGCCCCAGCTTCGCTCTTTTTCCAAGTGGGCAGTCTCCAGTTTCCTTGGGGTGCGGGGTCACGGATTGGGAGAGTCTAGAGCGCCTCCCCTCCACTTCCCTGCCCCCTTGCTTTGCTTATCCACGTGGCTTTGGGGACCTCGCTCCTCTGAGCGGAGTGGTCACGGAGCACCAACCTTCCTTTGTAGGGGATGGGACAGTGTCGGGATAGGGGTATGCAGCTAGGGTTTGAGCGCTCGCCCTGTACTTCTCTTTCCTTTCAGGTGCCCCCAGCCCCCCACCCTGCACCCTCCGCAAACACAAAAACAACCGCAAGCCACGGACGCCCTTCACCACTGCGCAGCTGCTGGCGCTTGAGCGCAAGTTTCACCAGAAGCAGTACTTGTCCATTGCTGAGCGCGCCGAGTTCTCCAGCAGTTTGAGCCTCACTGAGACTCAAGTCAAGATCTGGTTTCAGAACCGCCGAGCCAAGGCCAAGCGGCTGCAGGAGGCTGAGCTGGAGAAGCTGAAGCTGGCAGCCAAGCCACTACTGCCGGCGCTTGCCCTGCCGTTTCCGCTGGGCACCCAGCTGCACAGCTCCGCGGCCTCTTTCGGCGGCGGCGCGGTTCCTGGCGTCCTCGCTGGGCCGGTCGCGGCTTATGGCATGTACTACCTGTCTTAGCCCATGGAACCAAGTTCTAGCCTCTGGGGTTCAGGCCTGCGCCACAGCTCCGCCCGCCGCTGATGCTCCTGGTAATTTCTGACCTTTAGGTATCCCTTTCATTTTTAGTTTTTCGTTTTTTACTGTTCATACGATGTTATATTTGATGACTGGAACCTCTTTGCAGGCATCTTACAAATATTTTAAACCTTCCTAAAATCATGTTCACACCAATCTGTTTTCTGACAGTAAAGGGCTTCATACAGTCCTTGAAATGGATAAAAGTAGATCTTCCTACTTCGTACAAAGCAGCACCAAGGACTTTAGAGAGGCTCTTTTGGACTGGCATAATAATTCCATAAAAAGAAATTAAAATAAAAATGTAGTAGGATTGCTAGGAAGAAACTTAGAAATTACTATCACTCTAACTAGATGTGGTACGTTTTACCCCATTGTTATTTTTTTAGATTATACACCGTTACTTTTTTTTTTTTGTTTTCGAGACAGGGTTTCTCTGTGTAGCTTTGCACCTTTCCTGGAACTCACTTTGTAGACCAGGCTGGCCTCGAACTCACAGAGATCCACCTGGCTCTGCCTCCCGAGTGCTGGGATTAAAGGCGTGCGCCACCACCGCCCGGCTATACACCAGTTACTTTTTAGAGTATACACGGTTGAAGGAGCCGGAGGCAAACGCTGCATGGGTGGGAGCGTGGGGAAGGTGATATGCCCCTGGCACCAAGCACCAAAATAAGGGTGGTGGCTGGGGCAGCCCCTGCTGGGCTTCAAGACTGGAGGGCTGTAGCTGTCACGCTGAAGGCAGCGGCCCGCAGGGACCAAGCCCTAGCCTCTTGGGTGCCCAACCAATGAAGAGAAGAGACTGAAGGTTGAGAGCCTTACTGTGGGCGCGGTAGGAGGCGGGGCTTGAGAAGGTCCCAAAGGACTTGCTGTGAGTACCAGAGGCCCCTGTAATCCAGATGCGCCTTAGAAAAGCGGTGGACTTGTTTAGGAATCCGGACCCCTACCTTTATTTGAGGAACGAAAAAAGAACATCTGCGCTGTCCTGTCCCATTCTCCCTGTAGGATTCTCAAGCCTGTCAAGACAGACTGAAGCCCTTTGGGTACCTGTCAACGGCACTGGTAAAGCCTGTGGCTGTTTCCACAGTAAGCTTCCGCCACAACCTCGAGATTTAAGTCTGGAGTGTGCTGAGGGCTCACAAAGGTCCCCTGGAGTCTCAGCCCCGCCATGAACAAGCCCCTTCTTCCAGATGCTGCCTTAGAGCTGAAGAGGAAGAACTGGGCTGCAGAAGTGTGCTTGCTGTGTGTTCATGAGGACCTCCCAGTGATGGCCCTGGGTTAGGATATTCTGGTTGGGAGGAAGGGGAAGACTGGGCTGTCTGTGCTCAGCAGCCTAAGCCAAAACAACTGCTCCAGGGAAACCGCTGTCCTGGTCACTGCTCCATCTGCTCCAAATAAAACAGAAGAGATGATATTGCATGGAATTGCCTATTGATACCCACCGACATTCCTCAGCCCTGTGTCTCTTGGAAAATGGAAACCAGATAGGTTGTTGTTTTGTTTTGAGACAGAATCTCACCATGTAGCCTTAACTGGCCTGGGGCTTGCTATTCCCCAAGGATGGCCTTAGACTCAGAAAGGTCCACTTGCCTCTGCCTCCCAAGTGTTGGGATTAAAGGCGTACACCACCATGCCCAGCCATGTGATTTTTTTTTTTAAGTCAAATGGCTCAGTTGTAGGGGTGTCAGATGCAGAGAGTAAAGAACAGTTGCAAGGGAGAGTGGCTGTGTCTCAGGAGCGTGTACAGATCGATCCCTCAGCCCAGGCTGTTTTAACTTCAGCCCAGTCCTACCGCTGCTCTCAAGAGGTCGGACCCTCTCCTGGTGTGCAAATGCCGATGTGCAGAGAGCCTGGGGGAAGGGTCCTGAGATTTCACAAGCAAGTCTGCTCCTTGGAAAGCAGACCTGGAACTACTTGTGTAGCTCAGGCTAGCTTTAGACTCAAAGCAATCCTATCTCACCCCGCTGAGTCTTGGGATTACAGACATGAGCCACCACACCCAGGCAAGCAGCTGCCTCTTAGATCCCTCCATCATTGCTTCAGTTCTGCTCTCAGATCTGAGGTACTGAGTGGCACTTGGGCACAATCACGTACAGCCACGGCCAGTGCATGGACAATCCCGAAATGACAGGAAAATGAAAATCAAATGTTAATTTCAGGAAAGCGGGTGTGTGCCACCCTACCACTTCACAGTGGATCTAGATCTGTGTGGCACATCTCTATCTGCTGTGCAAGAGCATGTGATGGCACGAGCCACCAAAGGCTGAGCAAAAAATCTGCTGTTCAGCTGACTGGCCAGCTTGCTAGTTTGCCTCTCTGACCCAAAATACCCAGCCAGGCATATTCTCCCCAGATCCTTTCACTGAGCCAGTCCAATTATGTGTCTGGTTCTGAGAGTCCTCCCCCTGAGGGTGGGCATGGCTCTGGTGGTCTAGCAGGTAGGATGTATCCATACCTTCACATCATCCAGCAGGTGTTCTTCCTGTCGTCCAGCAGTGTTTGCTTTTGGGACAAGGCTGAGGCACACTCACACTTTTCTGGAGAGCTGACTACCAGCCTTCTTACAGAACTCAGACCCCTTCTGGTCCCAGCCAGGACCTGATGCTGCACATACTCACTGATCTAATCCTGAATTCAAATAGTATGACTTTGAGTTCAAGGTCTTTATTTTTATTTTTTTTTTTTTTTTGGTTTTTCGAGACAGGGTTTCTCTGTGTAGCTTTGCGCCTTTCCTGGAACTCACTTGGTAGCCCAGGCTGGCCTCGAACTCACAGAGATCCGCCTGGCTCTGCCTCCCGAGTGCTGGGATTAAAGGCGTGCGCCACCACCGCCCGGCTGAGTTCAAGGTCTTTAAAGGCCAAAAGTGGCCCAAAGCCAGTTGTGAAAGGATTTCCTTATTGTAACAATGCAGATCTTTGGGCCTCTGCCATTCAGCATCATATGGACAGACTGCTGAATCCCAGAGTCCATGGCTTCTAGTCTAAGCCCTTTCAGCTGCCAATTCTGGACCACTGAGGGTGGACTTGGAGACCTGGCCCTGCCCTTGGGAACTTGTATCAGGGAGGCCACTGGACAAAGTGACCTAAAAGCTGTTGAGGGTGAACCATGCCTCTCTGGGCTTGAAGCAGGCAAAACAAGAAATAGAGAAGTAATGAAATGGTGTGGACTGCAGATGACCTTGGGCAGAGCGTAGGTACAGAGGTCTGGACTGTGACTTACTCATCGAGTATATGTGTCTCATCTTTCCCATTAGAGTGATCTGATGTGTTGGATGGGTATGGGAGGTCAGAGTATTGCCTGAGCTCTGGGAAACACCCCTGGGGCCTTTAAGGTCAGGATCGCCCCAGGGAGGGAACCAGGGCTCGTGCACCTACTAGCTTCCAAATGGAGCTGGGGTTGGCCACCCATATCAGCTTTGGCCCCTCTGCATCTCGGGGACTGGTCTAGGGTCTCCAGCATAGCGACCTGAGGGCATAGGTACTGTGCTGTGGACCACGCAAGGTGGAGCCTGGTCAGTCCCGTTGGTGTTTCTAGAAGGGACTCTTTAGACATGACTAGTCGACCCTGGATGATGTAAGAGATCTGGAGGGCAGCATCTCCTCCTGGGGATTTCTGCACAGCTGATACACAATAGGTGGACAAGGTCATAGGGCGGGCATTAAAGGACAACGTCATCCCTTCCTTGCTTGAGGAATGGTGAGCATCCTTCTGCTGAGTAACATAAGCCAGGTGCCGGGGAAGAGCAACTGTCTCCTGTCCTCTCTGTGCTTCCGATCTTCTCCAGTTCCCAATCTGGTGGTGTTCTTGGGAAGCCTTTGATTAAGTGCGTCACCGTTTCCCTGAAACATTGTGAATGATGCCATGCAGTTGGTGCCAGAGTCTGATAATCTCATTTTTACTGTGAAGAAATATTGTCTAAATATACACAAGTTTTTCTGTCCTGATTGGCACATTGCATTCTCATTGTATTTGATTGTGTTATTAAGAAAAAAAAAATCAGCCAGGCAGTGGTGGCACAAGCCTTTACTCCCAGCACTCGGAAGGCAGGGCCAGGCGGATCTCTGTGAGTTCAAGGCCAGCCTGGTCTACAGAGCGAGATCCAGGACAGGCACCAAAACTACACAGAAAAACCCTGTCTCAAAAAACCAAAAAGAAAAAATTAAAAAATCATGCATTAAACAGAGATGGTTGATAATAGAGAGAAGCTAAGTTCCAGAGATGGCCAAGGGAGGGAAAGAAATGTCTTCACATTTATAATGTGTGTGCTTTAGAAAACCAAACCACACAACCACAGCATTCCCCTAAATATTCAAGGGGTGTTATCTTTGAAACTTTATGAGAAGAACCATGGGCTCATCTCTACTCTGAACACACTTGTTTTTATACAACAATAGGGACACCTGCTCTGGCAGGTGACTTTGGGTCTAATCCTGTGCTTCCTTTACTAGCAGCTTTTGGGGACCGAGGTTCAGGACTAGACAGCAGTCTACCTCCAACTCCCAGCTTGCTGGGCTGCTGGGGACCTGTGTGAGCACCCAGGTGTCATGGGCCCATTTTTGCTTTTGAAGGAGATGCTTCCAACCTCAAAGGTATTGGCAGTAAATTCGCAGTCACCATTTCTAGATTATTAGGACTCATTTCCCGAGGTGGTTACTAAGAAGTTTCATGAATGGATATTGTGGTTTATCATATGCCTTTTTTTTCTGAATATATTAAGATAACCAAATGGCTTCCTCATTGAACCTGCAGAGTCAAAAGTCGTAAGATTTTCCTTTGTTGAACATGGTGGCATACGCATTTAATCCCAGCACTCCGGAGGTGGAAGCAGAGGCAGGTGGATCTCTGTGAGTTCCAGGACAGCCAGGACTGTTACATAGAGAACAACAACAGAAACAAAAAAGTGGCTGCAACCCTGAGCTCATACTCAAGGGGACGTGCAGGAGGCAACTGTGGGCCTGTCCATGGACCATGTGGCTGTTTGTGCGGATGGGCACAGTGTCAAGTGCCAGATGTGTGCTCAGTGGTGGTGGGCATGGTGCTGGCCCTTGAAGAGAAAGATAGGCTGCAAGATCAAAATCATCAAGATCGTGCCGGGCGGTGGTGACGCACGCCTTTAATCCCAGCACTCGGGAGGCAGAGCCAGGCGGATCTCTGTGAGTTCGAGGCCAGCCTGGGCTACCGAGTGAGTTCCAGGAAAAGGCGCAAAGCTACACAGAGAAACCGTGTCTCGGAAAACCAAAAAAAAATCATCAAGATCATGCCAGAATTTCAGAATAGCACAGTTTGTATCAACAACCCTACAAGAAATTATCTGTGGTCTCATTAAAGGAGGAGCTGCCAAACTTCAGATAATAAAGACTTTTTTTTTTTTTTTTTTTTTTTTTTGGTTTTTCGAGACAGGGTTTCTCTGTGTAGCTTTGCGCCTTTCCTGGAACTCACTCGGTAGCCCAGGCTGGCCTTGAACTCACAGAGATCCACCTGGCTCTGCCTCCCAAGTGCTGGGATTGAAGGCGTGCGCCACCACCGCCCGGCAATAAAGACTTTTATATGACACTTAAGTAGGTTTTCCTACAAAGGGAAAAGATGGCCAACATGTTATAATATTATTGATAACTATAGGCTTTTTAAAAATACATTTTTATTTATATAGTGCTCTGGCTGCATGTATGCCTGCAGGCCAGAAGAGGACACCAGATCTCATTAGAGACAGTTGTGAGCCACCAAGTGGTTGCAGGGAACTGAACTCAGAACCTCTGGAATAGCAGCCAGTGCTCTTAACCGCTGAGCCATCTCTCCAGCCCTAACAAGTGTAAACTTGTTACAGATGAATGTCCAAGAAAGTTACTTAGTTAAAGGAGCAGTATTACACTGTTGAAGTTAGCCCTGTTCTCTGTGGAAGAGAAGTTCCCTTACATGGTAGAGTGGTGTACTAAGTCACATGATTTGCTTGTTGAACACGGCATATCAAAAGCCAAACTTAATAGAGACTCTGGCAGACTCTGATGTTATGCTCATGGAAGGAGATGAGAATTTCTTCGGTAAACTTCAACAGCACCGTATCCCTATGTTCATATTTTTGGCTGGTCTCGGTGACATGCTTGAAGGACATGATTCTCAATTCTCATATGATATTCAAGGGCCATCCTCCAGGTTACGAGATAGCAGCAGCATGAGGGTTTGCTGGACTCTCATGATTGTTCAGTTTGTTCTGTTAAAAAGCTATGCTGACATACAATTCACAAGTCTTCTGGTTCCCCCATTCAGTCTGTCATTCACTACCACCACAGTCAATGTTCAAACATTTTCATCATCACCAAAAGAAACTCTCTCCTTCAGCCATCATCCCTACTCCTCCCCACCGCCCAGCCTTAACCTAACACAACAAACATCCTACCTGTGTTGCTTTACTATTCAGGACTTTTGCTAGAAACAGAATCATACAGTAAGGTGTGTGTTTGTGTGTGTGTGTGTGTGTGTGTGTGTGTGTGTGTGTGTGTGTGTGTGTTCTCATTTATTTAGTTTCCAGCGTTCCTCTCTGTTACAGTATGTTGATATCAATTCCTCATTCTTTTTGTTTTGTTTGGTTTGTTTTGGTTTGGTTTTTCGAGACAGGGTTTCTCTACGTAGTTTTGGTGCCTGTCCTGGATCTCGCTCTGTAGACTCACAGAGATCCGCCTGCCTCTGCCTCCCAAGAGCTGGGATTAAAGGTGTGCACCACCACCGCTTGGGTCCTCATTCTTTTTATGGCTGAAAAATATTCCTGTTATATGTATATAACCCATTTGTCTATCAGTCTGATAGTTGGTGAATATTTGCATTGCTTTTATCTTTTGCCTGTTGTGAATTATGCTGCTATGAACATTCATATATATTTTGTGTGTGTGTGAATGTGTGTTCATTTCTCTTGGTGTATATACCTAAGAGTGGAGTTGCTGGGTCAGATAGTGACTGTGCCTAAGGTACTGCAACATTGTTTCCACAATCATCTGTCCACTCCCGTGTCCGTCCTGAGGAGTGAGATGTGGCTCATGTTGTTAGTTTTTGAGGCACTTCCATTTTAATTCCTGTAGTATAATTTACATTGCACCAGCAGTGTTAAAAGTTCCTTTTTCCACATCTTCTCTAGACTTTGCTTACATTTAAGTTTTTTGAGACTTTATTTTACGTGTATGGGTGTTTTGTCTACATGTATGTCTATGCACTATGTGAGTGTAGTGCTTGGTCAGAAGAGGGTGTTGGATCCCCTGGGATGCTTGTAAGCCACCATGTAGTTGCTGGGTGGGAATCAAACCCAGGCCCTTTGGAAGAGCAGCCAGTGCTCTTAACCTCTGAGCCATCTTTCTAGCCACTCATTGATTATTTTTTAAATTAATTTATTGTCAGGTGAGATAGTGCATGCCTTTAATCCCACAATTCAGGAGGCAGAGGCAAGTAGATTTCTGTAAGCTCAAGGCCAACCTGGTCTCCATAGTAAGTTCCAGGTCAGCCAGACTACAGAGTGAGACCTTGTTTCAAAATATTACTTTTTAAAGTTACCCGTGTGTGTATGTCAGTGTGGGGTTATATGCACAGAAGTGTAGGTGCCCATGGAGAACAGAAGAAGGTGTTGGGTATTCGGGAGCTAGAGTTACAGGTAGTTGTAAGCTGCCTGTTGTCAGTGCTGGGAACCAAATTCTGGTCCTCTCCAAGTGCAGTACATTGAAGCGTGAACCTAATTAGTCTTATCAATAAAAAACAGGAGTCAGATATCGGGGGTAATAACCTGAAAGATCAGAGAAGCAGAGGAGCAGCCACCAGTGACTTCCTACCTCTCCAGATCCTCTGACCAAAAGGGTCAAGATCTTGTCTCCACCCTGACTTATCACTTCCTGTCTCTGCCTCCTGAGTGCTAGGATTAAAGATGTGAGCTTCCCAAGTGCTGGTATTAAAGATGTGAGCTTCTCAAACGCTGAGATTAAAGGCATGGGCCACCACCACCCAGCTCCTATGGTTAACTAGTGGCTAGTTCCACCCTCTGATCTCCAGGCAAGCTTTATTTGTCAGAACACACACAAAATATCACACAACAGTACATGTGCTCTAGAACTAAGCCACTTCAGCCTTTGTTCTCATTTTATTGATGATTATAATTCTGACAGGTCAAGTAGAATCTCTCAGTGTTGAACACTTTTTCATATATTTATTGGCCATTTCGAACAATTGTTCTTATTGACAGTATTATTTATTCTTTTGGTGTTTAATGTCTTGACTTGTTTCTATATTTTAGATCAGTGATTCTCAACCTTCCCAATGCTGTGGCCCTTTAATGCAGTTCCTCATGTTGTGGTGACCCCCAACCATACAATTATTTCATTGCTACTGTAATTTTGCTATTGTTATGAATCATAATGCAAATATCTGACATTTGACCCCTGGGAGTGTCATGATCCACAGGTTGAGAACCACTGTTCTAGATAGTAATACCTTATCAGACAGCTAGCAAGGAGCTTCACCCATTCTGCAGGCTGTTTTCTTCATGGTGCTACTTCTATTTCTTGTAAATCTCATTTGTCAGTTCTTGGAGTTCCTGAGATGCTTATGTCCTTAACAGAAAGCCCTTGCCCATGCCTTTGTCTTGACATGTTTTCTTTGATTTCTTCTAACAGTTTCAGAATTCCAGGTCTTACATTAAGACCTTTGATCCAGGTTGACTTTTGGCAGACAAGAGTCAAGGACCTGGTTTCCTTCTTCTGTGTGTGGAACCCACTCTTTTCCAGCACCGTATGTGAAAGAGTCTATCTTTTCTCCCAGGTATTTTGGGCACCGTTTTCAGATTAAGTGACTGCACTGCATGAGCTTATTTCTGGCCACTTTATTCTCACTAGTCTGCTTACCTGCTTTGTGCCTCCACCATGTTGTTTCTATTACAGCTTTGTATTCTAACTTGCAGTCAGGTATGGTGATATCTCTAGCATTACTCTTTCCTGCATCCATATGGATTTTAAGATCACCTTTTTTATTCCTGTCCTGCCCTTCATCAAATCTGGGATTTACTCTGTAACCCAGGCTGGCTTTGAACTCCCGGTCTTGCCAGTGTTGGGATTACAGATGAGAGCCATGTAACCTTGTCTTTTCACTTTTCTCAGTTCCTTGACTTGCGTTATCCAGTTGATCTGTCCAGCTCACTTAGTCTTCCCTGTGCCATCTCAGCTCTCCCTGCGAGTCCTTCAGTGAGTTTTTAAAGTTCAAGCACTATACTCTCAACTCCAGAATTCCCATCTGGCTCTTTTGAAAGCTGGAGAGATGGCTTGGTAGTTAAGAGCATGCACAGCTCCTCTAGAGGATCGGAGCTGGATTCCCATCAATCATACCAGACGTCTGTAACTCTAGCTCCAGGCCAGAGTCTCTGTGGGCACCTGTTATCATGTGCACATACACATAATGAAAATAAATCTCAAAAACAAAAAACAAACCCCAAATATCTCTTTATGGATGGTCTCTGTGGGGTAGTGTGTTCCCGCCTTCCTTAGTTTTGTGAACGTGAGTGATGGCAGTGGGACTCTACTAGTCCTGGCATTCTGCCACCTCATAGGCAGTTTCCACTGCCTTCAATATCAGGAGGTGGGCTGTACATTCTGGTTCTTCCGACCTCTCATTGCTGCTGTTTAAATTTGACATTAGTAACAACTAATTGATCTTAGAACTACTTTGGGGCTTGTTATTGGTGGGTTTGTAGTTAGATGGAGCATGGTTTTGGTAAAGATGGCTTTCCTGTGTTTGGCTTTCCCAAGTTTCTGGTATCTCAGGAAAAATGAGTTTTGCTGGCCACAGACCTGGGATAGATTTTTTGGTTTGTTTTTGTTGTTGTTGTTTTAAGGCTTTTGGTAGGACCCGTGAGTTCTCTCAATATCTACCCCACAGCTGCCCCACTATTCCTGCAGTGTATGTACAATCTCTCTCCTAGGGTTTCCTCCTGCACTCTTCCAGATACCATGTCCCAGTGGAGTTTAACTGGCTGCACAGGGCACAAGGACAACAAGGCTGTCTCTTACAGCATAAGGATCCTGGATTCCACCTGTGGCTGTTCTGGACCCCTTCCTCACAGCTTTTGTGGGATGCAGGAATTATACAAATCTCCCTAAAACTTTGTGTTAGAAGCAAAATAGTCATGGCTCACAATCATTCCCTTTTCTGATCATCAGTGAAAAAATTTATTTCATATGTTTAATAGTGACATTCTTAGAGCAGCCCCCACGAAGCAGGTAGGCGGTGTCTCCATCTCATTCCTTCAGTGTGTCCTGGTTATTTCTGGAATCTGCAGATTCTGAGTTTCTACACACTGGCTGCTTCATGTGCTCAGACATGGAAATAAGGAGGTGGCAATGGTCCAGCTCAGGGCAGCTATCCAGAAGCAAGAGAAAGGTCCTGGCACACCACTCCCCGAAAGTCCATCTGGCTTTCCTCACCAGGATCCATCAGTGGTGTTTGTTTCTTTTCTTAGTGCTTTTAAAGCCTCTGGCTGCACCCTGGCCAAAACAGACAGTAGAAGGTATTCTGAAACAGAAAAACGGTCATCTCAAACAATGGCATTATCTTTAACAACACACAGCTTGTCTCTACTTCCTTCACATTTGTATTCTGGAATGTTCTCCTTGTGCTTTGGGGAACACTCAGGAAATGGAGTCTGGTCTCTTGGGTCCTAGGATCAGCTCCTGGTCTCAGCCTTGCTTCCTGTGGGATATCTTCCTGGTAGCAATGTGCATTTGCTTAGAAGAATTTAGCCAGCAAGGTTAGCTCCCCTATGGCATTGGCTTCCTGTTATCTCCATTGCTGAAACCCAGTCACCACAGGCAGGCAGGGTACTCACAGGCCAAGGTCCAAACAACCATGGAAGATGGCTGCTGGAAGGCAAATGAGGGGCATCCATGTCCATCTTCCTGCCGGTTTGGATTCTTGGGCCACCCCACCACCAATTTCAAAAATTTCCCCAAAATAATAGTTAAAGCTGATGTGAGTGCAATCTGAGAAAGACAGTCTGCCAGGCAAACACAGGCGAAGGTCCTTTCCACTCAGCAGAGGTAACAGTGACAAGGGGGTGGTGCTGGCATGCGGGGCTCCAGGGTCCAAAGCACAGGAAAGGAGGGAAACTACAACATTCAGGTTGTCACCAGCAACGAAGCCCATCTTCTTGCCCAGTGGTACCCACTCTCAAGCCTAGAGTCATTAATACACACGGAAAGATGCACATACTGACCTGTGGCTGTAGGTCCGCCTGCAGGGAGGTGGGGCAGCAGGTTCAGAGCAGATATCCATGGCGTCACTGTCATCTTTCAGGGCTCTGGCTGGTGGGTCTGGAGCAGCTGGCATGGCTGGGCTGTAGAGGACAAAGCAGTGGGCAGCACTTGTACCTGGTTCCCCAGTACTAGACTCTCAAGGAAGACACTTTTTTCCTGCAAAAATGTTTGTTTGTTTGTTTGTTTGTTTTTTACTATTTTGGCATATTCTACTATTACAATGAAATTTTCAGGCTATGGAAAAAAGAAGAATGCTTTATGGCATGGTCATGCATTCATATAGCTAAGTCTGATAGTTTATAAATTTAAACATAATGATTCTTCATCCCCACCCCCCTCTTTTTTTTTTTTTTTTTTTTTGAGACAGGGTTTCTCTGTGTAGTTTTGGCGCCTGTCCTGGAGCTCACTCTGTAGACCAGGCTGTCCTCGAACTCACAGAGATCCGCCAGCCTCTGCCTCCAGGATGCTGGGATTAAAGGCGTGTGCCACCGCCGCCCCATCCTTCCCCCATTAAAGACATCCGGGGTCAGGTGTAGTAGTGCATCCTTTAATCCCAGCACTGGAGAGGGAGAGACAGGTGATCTCTGTGAGTTCTGGAGGATAGCCAGGCCTACAAAGTGAGTTGCAGATGAGCCAGAGTTACAGTACATACAGTGAGACACCTACCCCACCCCTGCAAAAAAGAAAAGAAAAAAAAAAAAAAGCTGGCCAGGAACTTGATATGTAAGACCAGGATGGCCTCAAATGCAGAGATCTGCCTGCCTCTGCTTTCCAAGTACTGGGATTAAAGGTACACTCCACCATGCTCAGTCCCCACCAGTATTTTTCCTTAAGCTTTTCTATTTTTCTATTTATGTATATGTATGTGTTCTTCTCAGTGCCACACATATGGATGCCTAGAGGACAGAAAAGGGCATGGAGCTGAAATTACAAGCAGTTGTGAGCCATCTGATATGGGTATTGTGGACAGCACTCTACTACTGAGCTCTGTTCCCAGCCCCCAACTGTCTTTCCATGAGGGAGAGATTTACTAAAATTAACTAGATAACATAGATTCTTGTCCCCTACTACCAACAAGCTAATCCAGCACTGTAGAAGTACAGAAGTATTGAAGACTCAGATTCTCATGAAGCATTCCACAATGCAATGGGTTCTCTAATTATTTTACACAGAAAGGTGCACTATTTGGAGAAAATAAGGACTTCACGAACTTTTTATTCATTTACTTATTGTGTGTGCTTATGTGTGTATACCCACATGTGTGGTGCATGCACGTGTGTGTAAGACAGAGGCCCACCTCAGGTGTCATTCCTCAGTAGCCATCTACTTTATTTTTTGAGACAGGGCCTCTTCCTGGGACCTGGAGCTCACAGCTGAGGCTAGGCTGGCTGGCCTAACCCCAGAGACCTCTGTCTCCACTTCTCTAGTGCTAGCATTATATGTGCACACCATGATCCTTGGCTTTTTTAGATAGGTGACAGGGACTGAACCTCAAGCTTAAACACTCCACTGAGCGAGTTGTCTCCCCAACCCCAATCAATGCAATATCTAATGATTACGGAGAGTTCACTGAAAGGAATATGTTTGAAAGGAAGCAAAGAAGTATTATACTAAGAGTTATTCCAGGTGTTATTTTCCTGGGCAGTATAAACAGTCAGGTTAACAAACAGCTTTGTTTACAAGTTTGTAAAAGTAAGCAGAGAGAAAAAATGAAAAAAAAAAAAAAAAAACCTAGGAGGTCCCATGGGAGAAGTGTGAAGAGTACATACACTGGGCTAGTCCCCAAATGTCCCTGCTGGTAGATTCAGAGGGGCATGCAGGGCACAGATCAGCACAAGCAGCTGCCAGTACCACTCCCTCTGCTCCCAGCCAGGGAGTGCCCTCCTGTCTCCACCAACATATACCCCAAGCATACTAATTCACTGTCCTCAGAGTTTCAGCTACCTGTGTATAAATAAAAACTAAGTCAGCTTTGACTACAGTATCTGTTCCCAGGCTTACGACTGGGGGCAGTCACAACTGGGTCCCTACGTACCCTCTGTTTGTCTTGGGCTTATCAAATCGGAAATCCGCAGGGTACAAGTGGAGCCTCACCATGTGATCCTTCCGGTCTTGGCTGGTCTTGAACTTCTGCGGGCAGCCTTCAACCAAGCACTGGTACTACAAAGAACAAGGTGTCACCTCCACTCTCTCCCTGCCCTAAGCCCTGATCCCAGTCACCGTTGCAGATGTGTTCAGTGTAGCCAACACCCACCATATCTTGCCTCTGGGCCAGGATCTGGAACAGAGAGTCATGCCATTCCAGGATGTGGACGTCCAACAAATGCCCAGAGGGGAAGGCACGGCTGCAGAGGGAGCAGGTGTTCCCATGCAACATGTGATAGTGATGCTGGTAGTCCTCTAGGGCGGCAAACACTTGGCAGCAGCCAGCCACCTGACAGGTGAACTCAGGCACCCTGGGAAAGGAGGCGTGTTACTTGGAAGGATGCCTCCACCCCAGGCAGGAATTCTAGGAAGAATTCAGGCTCCTGTTGGTGAGCCTGAAACAAGTTCAGAGTTCCTGTACCACCCCCAAGCTTTACTAATAGACTAGGGGAGAGAGGACCCAGCCAAGCCATGCACGTGCACGGGCAGGGTGGTGCTAAGCCGATGATACCCAGGGTGTCATCTGGAAGGGGTTCTAGTCCTAGCCTGTATGCGGGCGGGAGAGGAGGAGCCAGGGTAGCGCTAGCAAGAAGAGAAAGGCCTCGAAGTCAAGCTGCTCACATGGACTTCTCCGGCGTCTCGGACACTTGCGTGAGCATGTCCTGCAGGTAGAGGTGCCGCTGCACATCCCCATCCTAGGGAAGATACGCGCCAAAAGCCAGGGGTGGACCCGGGTCTTGAAGCCTCGCCCTGCAGCTTTGAACCACGCCCCAACCTACAGAGAGGTGTCCAGCCCCTAAGTCCCGCCCACACAGACAAGCTCCGCCTAGCCTAGCCCCGCCCCCAGCGACAGTCCTGCCCCCTAGGCCCCGCCCTGCGGGGGGGGCTCAGGAAACCTTCCGCCCAGGTTCTCACGCACCTCAAAGAACTCGTGATCCCGCGGGAAGCGCACGGGGCGCGGTGTGAACCAGAAGGGCGCCGCCCCAGCTGCAGGGCTCCGCTCCACCGGCAGCGGTTCGGCTGCCCCGGGCGGCCCAGCCAGGCGGGAATAGAGCGCAGGGGGAAGCAACATCTCCACGGCCGCCGCAGCCCTTCGGCCACCGTCGGCGGGGCGGAGACGGACGTGACATCTATTAACTTCCTGTGGCAACCCTGCGGGGCGGAACGCGGCGCGCGGAGGTGAGTGAGGGCTGGTTCTGGGTTGTGGCGGGAACCTGTCGGGGAGGGGCGGGGCTGGAACCGGACGCGGGGACCGGGTACGGGAACCCAACTAACCTGCAGCGGTGAAGAGTCTGATTCTCTTGGGCATCTGCCACCGGCAGTTCCGACTGCCAACCCGGGCCTGCCCCGCAGCTCGTCGGTGCGACAGCCTCTGGCTGTTTCTGCCCCTCCAGGCGTCCGTCCAGCTGGAGGCAGTGGCCGTGGGAAGTTCACGGTTAATGTGACTTCTCCCCTGAGAGCCCCGCGGTGACTGCGGAGCTGGCTTGCGGGTCTTCTGGAGTGAAGGAGTCAGGGCCACCTTCAGTAGAGACAGACATGGGAAGAAACCCTAAACTAAGCAAAAAGGCGATTGAGATGTGCAGCTGACAGGTTCGGGAGCTTTAACTTTCCTCCTCTCCCAAAATAGCACAGAGCAGGGCTCACCTGTATGAAGGTAATATCAAGGAAGAAGAAGGGGTACTACTGTTTAACAGATATAAACGAAAACTTTTTTTTTTTTTTAAGATTTATTTATTTATTATATATACAGTGAGTGTTTGGCCTGAAGGCCAGAAGAGGGCACCAGATCTTATTGTAGATGGTTGTGAGCCACCATGTGGTTGCTGGGAATTGAACTCAGGACCTCTGGAAGAACAGCCAATGCTCTTAACCTCTGAGCCATCTCTCCAGCCCCAACGAAAACCTTTTGGGGCTATTCTCCCTTCTTTCAGATAGCCCTGGCCATGCCCAGTCTATTTTTCTTCCTCTCTGCTCTGGACTCTTCCAGATGTCTCTGGATATTTTCTCTTTCTTATTTACAATAAAACTTTGCCCTTAACCATAAAAAAGAAAACTTTTTTTGTCATTATGCCTTAGAAATCAAGGTCTGTGTCCATGTCTTTAGCCATCTATCTGCCGATGGGCTAGCGGTGACGTCATCTCTCTCACTCCTCTGTCTCTGAAAAAGCATTTGGATTCTTGACATTTTGCAGGTTATAAAATGTTTTTGACAGGCCGTGTCTTGGTTAGGTTTCCATTGCTGTGATAAACACTGTGACAAAAGGCAACTTCGGGAGGAAAGGGTTTTTTTCAGCTTACAGCTGTAGTTTTCCATGAAGAGAAGTAGGGCAGAAGGGCTTTCTCAGTCTGTCTCTCTCTCTCTCTCTCTCTCTCTCTCTCTCTCTCTCTCTCTCTCTCTCTCTCTCTCTCTCTCCCTCCCCCTCTCCCCCTCCCTCCCTCGCTCCCTCCCTCCCTCTTCCTCTCCCTCTCCCTCTGTCCCCCCTCCCCTTTCTTTTTCTTTTTGGTTTGGTTTTTTGAGACAAGGTTTCTCTGTGTGACAGCCCTGGCTGTCCTGGAGCTCACTTGTATAGACCAGGCTGGCCTCAAACTCAGAGATTGGCCTGCCTCTGCCTCCTGATTGCTGGGATTAAAAGTGTAAGCCATCACACCCAGCCAGCCTGCTTTTTTATATACCCCAGAACCACTTGCTCAAAGGCACCACCCACAGTGATCTGGGCCCTCTCGAATTAATCATCTACCAAAGAAATGTACAGGCCAGCCTGGTGGAGACAGTTCCTCATTTGAGAGTCTGTCTTCCCAGATATGTCTAGGTTTGTGTCATTTGACAAAAACCAATCAGCACACTCTGGTTTGTACTATTATCCAGGAGCCTTTAGTGGCTCTCAACCTTCCTAATGCTGCGACCCTTTAATACAGTTCCTCATGTTGTGATGACCCCTGACCATAAAATTATTTTGTTGCTACTTCATAACTATAATTTTGCTACTGTTGTAAATTGTAATGTAAATATATGAATGCAGGATATCTGATATGTGACCCTGTGAAAGGGTCATGGTGGTCTTGACCCACAGGTTGAGAATTACTGCTCCAGACTCCCCTTTTCACACCTCTTCTACCCCCACCCCAACTCCATTTTAGCCATTGTTCACTGAAAATATGCATCTGGTTTGCTCATAATTGGTTGTGCCAGACTTTGCTAAATAAGTTGTGTTTGGTCTAGTGTATCTGTGGTAACTGATACAGATAGGAACCAAGGAGTATGAGAAAGTCGTGCAGGCTGTTGAGGGTTGATCAGACTTCTCTACAGTTGGACCTTTCAACTGTGACTTTGTCTTCCTGTATGTAGAAACCATTGTGTGGACATTACTGTCTGTGTCCTTTGTCCACTAACTGCCAAGAATGTCTTTTCATTGTTGTGACAACCAAAAGTTTAGGTATGTCTCTAGGACATATCTAAAGCCTTAAAGGAAGCTACTGTTTAGAGATGCGAGAAGTCTCCCCCCACCCCCAATGATCTATAAATCAGGAAGCACGGCAGGCTCCTAGGATTAATACACGGGAAGTAGTGATATCTGAGGATTTACACGTTTACTTGGATATGATTTTAAACAAGTATCTGTGTAGATGATCCTTTCGTGGTAGTACCCTGCCCTGTGTCTAGTGGGCAGGGCTTTGTGTTGGTGGTTCATACCTTCTTTGCCATCTAGCATGTTACAGGACAGCCTTTGGGCCTTGCAAAGCCTCATGGTTACTGCTGAATTTGATGAGACCATATGTGGGGGAAGTTTGGGGTTTTGCATTCTGCTTGCCAGGTAGCTTAAAGTGCCTCTTTTGAGAACTACCAATATTTTTAAAAAAATTTTCTTGAACATTTTATTTTTTTTTTAATGTATGGGTATTTTGTCTGCATTTTTGTTTGTGCACCATGTGCCAATGGAGGCTAGAAAAGTGTCAGTTCTCCTGGGATTAGAATTACAGTTTTGAGCTGCCACATGGGAGCTGGGAACTCAATCCAGGTCCTCTGCAAGATGCTTTTAACTGCTGAGCCATGTATCCAGTCCCAAGATACCTGCATTAAAGATACTGTCAGCGTCTTACTGTCTCTCTAAAACTAAGTAATTCCCATGTTACTTAGTGAGCATAACCAGTTCCCAGAAACCAGAGCAAACATGTTGAGGCAGTAGCTGTTTTATTTAATCTCCATAGCAACTCTAGGGAGCTGTGTTAAGCCCTCTTTTCATGAGCAGCATGCAAGGGACTAGCTAGCGTTTTGACTGGTGTCCACACCCCACGACTGAAAGAATCATGTTTCTATTGTGTAAGACTCCACAGCCCACACTCTGCTGTTGTGTGCTTTTTATTGTGGTTACACTGAACACCTCTTGATTTGGAAGTTTGTGTGCTGGGGATTTGATACCTGCTTTAGGCTTTCCATTTTGTTTTAGTTCTTGGAGACACCTGTTTTGACCATTGGTGGAGGGTGATAAACTAAGAAACTGCTTTCTATTACATGGGTTTACAGTGTGGAACTCTCAAGGTAGAGTTCCAGATGGTACTGTTTGTCCATTAGCATACTGTGGGAGTGTGTGCTGAGTCTCCTGCCCTTGACACTGTTTAACTCAAGGCTTGTCTCAATTGGAGATGCTAGCACAGCGTTTCTTAACTTCTGAGTTACACCTTTGTGAATGTACAAGAATACTCAGAAAATTCACAGATATGAATAGTAAAGTCTCATCTCCAGGCCTAACTTCACTATTGTTTGTGGATCTCAAATTAAGAATCCTGACTTGGGTTTATTACTATGTTCCTATAACATCCATAAAGTTTTTATTGGGCTTAATTTCTAATCTGTAGCAAATGTTTGTTTTCCTTAACGCTGTTTAATAGCAATTCTGATACTGACTGACTAGCTCAGCCATCAGTGGAAGACCCCATGTTCTCAGCTATTAGAACCAGGATGTTGGTACATCTGTTACCCACTAGGACATTATATACAGTCTCCACAGGTCAACCACTTTCCACTGGGATGATGGGATAGAAGTCACCATACCTTTCCTAACCAGTAGAACATTGCTTTAGAAATTGACATGCTGTCTTCTGCTGTTGCTCTGTGATGTCAAATACAGTTCTATTTGATTTTGAGATAGGTTCTTGCTGTCTCCCAGACTGGCTTTGACTGTGCTCTTCCTGCCCAGCCTCTCAAGTTCTGGGGTTACAGCCTCAGAAATCGTTTTGATCTCCACCACTTTAGCCAATGTCTAGACCTCAGTACAGCTGGTCCTAGAGCATCAGTAAAGCTGGAATATGTGGACTATTCCACATATTCTTACCTACCTAAACTATCTTTGTATGTTGTCAGGCCTGGACCAGAAAAAGGAACATTGAAGGTTTTAGAGTGCAAAAAGAATTCCAGACAGGCATGTGAACAGAGGTACCAACTTACAGTTTAGGGTTTAAGAATTGGGTATGGCCTCTTGAGCGGGAAGTTTTACTACATCAGGACAGAGACAGTAGCCTAGGCCTATGCAAGTTCCCTCAAAGGGCAGGATCATTGTGTCTGCCCAGCCTGGGCCAGAAAAGCTGAGACAAAATATCGGATCTGCTTCCTGCTGGCCCCTGGTTACATGAGGATGGGCTGGACCAGGAAGTGAGAGCCAGGTTTGTCTGGCCCATTTCAGTGATTAGCTGGTACAGCTGGCTCAAGTGGTGGTGTGAGCTGGAAAACTGAAAGCTGTGTCGACAGGACCATGGTACAGGTGAATGCAGTGACAGTGGCAGTGACGGTGGCTGGCAGATTTTGTAGATGAGTACCATTTTGATAGATCAGACTGCCGGGGAGAGGAAGAGGCTCATGGTTGACATAATCTTGACAATGATTTTTATGTCGAAGGCTTGAATCAGTCAAAAGACATTTTAGGTTTAATTTTATGAACAGCTTTCTTCCTGCCTTCAGGAGAATATTGCTATGTTGGTGTCTCAGAGCTAAACTATGAGTGAATTTCGGATTCACCATGATGTCAATGAGCTGCTCAGCCTGCTACGCATCCATGGTGGGGACGGGGCTGAGGTCTACATTGACCTGCTGCAGAAGAACCGGACGCCATATGTTACAACCACAGTCTCTGCCCACAGTGCCAAGGTGAGCTCCTATTCCTGATACAGGACCATAGGGATGGGA